TATTCTGTACCTTGATACTCAAACTAAATTACGCTGTACATGTAATGTGTGTGATTATTTTGAAATTTGTATTAAATAGAACGAATACACTAAAAATAAATAATAACATATAGCGACGTCTTTTCCCTTTGAAAAATATCAAGATAAACTGAATAAGTACAGACTATTACTCTATAATTGGTATTTCCAGATTAGACTAAGCCGAAAGTATTTCAATAATCATCAACTCGTAGATGGTTTAATGTCATTTGAGGATTAAAAGAGATTTTTTAAGATTTTCTTGTCAAAAAAGATAGATTTATTTTTAAGTAGAGAAGCTTAAAAAGTCTGGTTCGTATAGAGCCTTTTCTCCTTTGTAAAACGAACAAAGAACGAAAGTACATAAAACAGTTTTTTGTGTACTCAAAAAGTGAGTACACTACTAGAATCGATCAGTGTGTCCGTCCGGCCATCCGTTTATTCGATAACGTTTGAAAGGCTCATCCGATTGAGCTGAAATTTTGTGCACAGAACTGTCTCATCAAGATCTCAGTCCAGTTCGAAGATAAGCCTAATTGGCTGGGCCATTCTCGAGTTATTGCAAAAATACTGATATTTCCCTATGATTTTTTTTATATTTTTTTTTGGGAAAAAGTAATATAATGGCGTTCTCGTAAGCAATTTTTCTACCAGAGTCAAATAAAATTCCACTTATTATATATCATTCAATAGAGAATTTCACGAGCTACAAGATGGTACTAAATTATAGGAGTAAGTAGGTTGCACACAAGATTTCCTCTATACAACAGGATCGGTAAACTATAGAAAACGCATATATGTTGATAATGTGTCAGTGCGATATTTGCTTGTTTTTCATACTACCAATAGCACTTTTTTTTAGAATAGACAGAACTCGTCAAGAGCTATAAAATGATGTAAAGTAACAAGGGGTAGATATGCAGCATTCGATATGTCTTCAGTATCACACTTGTGAAAAACCATGAAAAAGCCATATACCTTAATAGTGTGTCTGTGTGATATTCGTTTGTTCTCCGTAGAGTCAACGTTATTTTTGTGTACTCAAAAAGTGAAGTTCACAATAGATTGATGTTGATCAATCTGTCTAAAAGAATTTATCCTTGAGCGCACTAAGGAATTGCCCCTTAGTCCCTGCGGGTGCTCACTTTTTAGTGTACTCAAAAAGTGAGTATATTACTAGAATCGATCAGTGTGTTCGGCCAGCCGTTTACACGATACTTTGCGAAAGGAGAGGTAGATTTTGATGAAATCTTCTACACAGTTTAGACTCATAAAGGGCTCGGTCGAGTTTGAAGTTGAGCCTAATTGTACGAGGCGTTCCCGAGTTATTACAAAAATACTGATATTTCCCTATGATTTCCATATATACTTTTTGCAGTACACATAACTCTCGGATACAATCCGAAGTTTCCACATTTATTTTGTAAAATCGTTTAGATTGATTTCATCATTAAATAATAAAATTTCGAACCTCTTCGAGTATTTTTTTAAATTTATTTTCTCAAGTAGACAAAAGTATATGAAAGGATTAATTTATAGTGGTTTAATAGCTCATTATTTATACTGTTAAAAGAGGTGTGCGTTTTTGTTTAATTAGAGAATGATTGACCCATACTCACCCACACCTATCTAGTGTCGATGATTTACAATGACTTTACTTCCAACAAAGACAACAATTATTTCATAATATTTTAAAGCAATTTATGATACGTAATAGCTGCAATATTAGGAAAGCTGTACTGACAGCATCTAGAGAAAAAAAGAATCCAGCGTATCTTTCTCAGTTGCATGCGACTGTTGGCATTCGTTGTGTGCTCACTGTCTTGATCGTTTTCATGGTAAAAAGCCTTTGCTGATTGCTCGTTATTGTCGACGTTGCATTAGGCTCGCTTCCGACATGGTTATTACGGAAACGACATGTAAGTAGATTCTTGGTTATTGAACGAAGCTCACTCGAGAGCGCGATATAAAGGTAAAATGGAATGATATTGGTTATATAAAAGCTCAATTTCGACAGAGTAAAAACGAGACTCTCCACTGCTACACGCCATGCATCTTTGACGACATTCATCGTAGCAGCTGTATAAATATATTGTGTGCCAAATGGGATAGTGGAAAATGCAGATACAATTGCTTGAAAAATAATCATTCGTCTGAGTTGTCGTTCAAATCGACGAACGTGTTGATGGTCAGTTCGACTCATGAGCATACGCATATTTCGATAGGCTCTATAACCAAAGAAGAAGAGAAGTATGAGAGGCACGAGAAACAATAGGACAGGATTGATGAAATAGGCGAACGCAAGTGCATACACTTGACTTGTATTCGTGCAAACCAGTGAGCCATTAGCCTTCTAGAAGAAAAACAGTGATTATTATATTATTTATTCCTAAAATTGACTTGTAGTAAATAACTCAAAATAGTTTTAAGAAAAGTTACATATAACAGTCTTCCCTTCTTCTTCTTGCTGTAGTTCAATCAACATATTTCTATGATTTATTTGAGTAGTTTTTGAATAAAAAAGGTGAACAGAAAAAATCAAATTATTTTTTTCAATAGAAAAAGCTCAAATGTATGTCAACTGTCTCAGTAAATATATCAATAGGCATAGTCATCTACTACGTCTTTCACCTGACGTCGTTTTACATTTGACTTAGTCGTTCGTTATTGAAGCTTTTACAATGAAAGTCGCAAGATAAATTTCTCCGTTAGTTTACGCAGTACGAACTTGATTTTAAGTTTTAAAATATTCTTTTCTTTCATATATCGAGAATAGGATATAACTAAATCCAAATTCGAGTAATAATTTACATTCACAACGTGTAAATTTCAGTCAAGTCATAGGAATCTTATTATATATGTCGTGGAAGACAACTTTAGGTTGCATCTATAAACTAGTAGAAAACCATTCGAATTGTTATTGGTTAAATATTGTTTTTCGAAATTTCTCAGTAATATATATCTAATTTTTTATTCGAAAAGTAGGAACTCATTTGAAATTTAGTCAGTTTAGTCGAATCTATTTTCAAAACGGAGACCTCCATCAGACTAGCTTACCTTCACCATATCCATGTAAATCATAAAGGGTATGGAGGGCAATGACCAAATAATGATTGAAGTCATTGCAAGTAAACGAGCTCGTTTTACACTGCTCCATTTCCGAAAATTGTTTGAACGACTTGTACATGCCCATTGATCAAATGAAGATAGTGCCTTGCATGTTAGAGATGCTAGACCTAACCAGGGAACAATCCATGTTCGAAGTTTGCAAACACCAACGGTAAATAAAAATCCACTGGACACGCCGAATCCTTCAGTTGCAATACGTGAACTTAAATTTGTTATGAGAAGAACGAGATCCAATAAAGATGCAATGAGAACATACTGTGAACAAGGATTCGAGAGAAGACGTCGTCGTGTAAATAAAGCTAAATTGAAAAGAGAACCAATAATACCAAAGACAAAAAATAGGATACCAATAATTATGTTGAGATAACGATTTCCCAAGGCTATGTCATCGATTATCGTCATTCTGTTGTAGAGTAGTGGTAACGATAAAAGCTGTATGATAATATATGGAAATGTGCACACAAAGCTCTCTATGAGAAATGAATGTAGATGATTAATATGTTTCTCTTCTACTCGCAACCAGACACTTACATCTCATATATCCAGAAGCATAATTAATTTATTCTGTGATAACGTTTCAAGAACTGCGACGCATATATCGGCCAAAAGGTATAATATATAATCAGTCAAAGGATTGTCAAGAAAAAATGCTAATTGACGTCACACTCTCATTTAAAATTATCTCCTGATACGAAGAAAAAATATAGCTGACAGCTGTCTCTTGCATATGAAAGCTGAAGCCTGGACCAAAGATTATATTCATAATTTAATAATGAGTTTTGCGCCTTATAACAAAATATGTCAGTCACACTCTTACATAAGGATTAGTTTCATATTCTGTAAGTCGATCTTTGTAAAAGAAATGATGATCTTTCAAGATTAATAATGTTTACAGCAACACTAATTCCTACTTCACATAAGAACAACATTTAATAGACACTTTCCTCGATTTGAGGATGTGGACGGATGAAAGTATAGTGAATGAGTGTTTTTTCTTGACCCTCACCCACACTGGTATTGAGAAATTCAGTTAATAAGCTTAGAATTCAAAGTAATTTTGTTTTGAACGAAATTTTATTACAAATACGTGTCTAAAACTAATCACGTGTATAAACACAAGAAATATATCACTTCAATTGCGTTTGGATGTGTTCGTTCTTAACATTTCAACACAAAGAATATTTACGTGAGTGTAGTTGTCTTATTTGAAATTGACAAATATTGCATGTCAATAGTTTGATTCAAAGTAAATTTGATTAACATGAGTCACAAATGATTGTATGTGTTTTGTTCTACTGTAGGCGAGTATGTGCAGATCAGAAGGCGCGTAGCATGCATCAATATTGAATAACACTTATGGGCGAATTTTATTATATAGATCAACTCAAGCGACAATATATTATTGTCGGCAATAGCTAATCATATCCTGTAACTGAGCATTTCACTGAGAAACATTTCTAGAATGTCATTCATCTTATTTCTTAGCGCTTGTCTAATTAATTGAACAGTTTTTAGATTTGATGATGAGTTAAAGTATTCTTGTTTTGCGCAATGAATCATTCGTTCGTTCGTACTATTTTCTCTTTAAGCACACAAGAACAGACATGTTTTGTATTCATCACAATGTAGGTGTTTTAACAGTATTTCCTTCGTTCTACTTCGCAATCACTGGCATGGCTATTAATTCACTGATAAATTTTTGTTCATATTTTTAAGATAATCTTTTTGCAAACATGTTGTGGATTGCATACAGTATATTATGTAGTATTGTTTGTTTGAAGACGAATCAAATAGCAGCGATCAACGACAACAGTTTAATTATAAAGAAAACTGCAAGATCTGGTCCTGCTTCTGCTCAAAATCCATTATTATTCGATCATATATTCGTTTTAATTATGGAAAATCGTGGTCACGATCAAACATTAAGTTCTCCTGCTTGGCAATCTATTATTCAGAGTTCTGCTTGGTTGACAGACATGTATGCGATCACTCATCCATCTCAGCCGAATTATGTTTCTATGATCGCAGGATCTACGTTAAACTGCAAGGATAATAATTATTGTTCTACAAATGAAACAACAATCATTGATTTATTAAATAGAGCTGGAGTCAGTTGGAAATCTTATCAAGAAAATTACACACCACTTCCCACAATGACAAGTCCCAATTGTAACGATGCGATAGAACTTTCGAACGGTTTATATGTTCGAAGACATAATCCATTCATGTTCAGTGCTGCAGTAAGAAACAATACAACTGAATGTAAAAAAATAGTAAATGCAGACCAGTTAGCAATTGATTTAGCAAATCAAGAGTTACCACAATTCTCCTTCTATACACCTAACATAAAGAATGATGCCCATGATACTGATCTCATTTATGCAGGCAATTATTTAAAAAACTGGTTAAATATTTATTTAAATGATTCTAATTTTATGCGTGGAACATTATTAATTGTAACTTTTGATGAAGATGAAAGTAATCCCGGTCAAACCAATCACATACCGGCGCTTATGTGGGGAACAGATTATTTATATTCTGCGGTCAAGATACCAGGAAAATTCAATCTTTATTCGCTTCCAAAACTGTTAGAAGAGAATTGGGGTTTAGGTAATTTAGGTCGTCAGGATGTTACAGCGTCTTCACTGATGGATATTTGGCGACTAACTTCAGACTCTAATAATACCACTATACAGACGACTAGTATTAGTACAATTGTATCTAGTATGGCTAGTCGTAAAGATATCGTTTGGAACCTATTGATCATTGTTTGTTATCTACTAATTTGTATTAACATGATCTATTGATTCGAATTGTATTTTAATAAAATATCTTGCATACTCAGACTTGATGAAAATGATAGGGTTTGGCTGTGCAAAGGCGTGAAGATGAAGTTTCAACAAGTTAAGGTTGTATTAGATTGAAATGAATACATCATATAATAGCAATAGCGAATATGATACCTTAAACACGTTTATATATATTTGATAACTGACGATGTCAGAGTACGTTTAAATACTCAAAAATCTTGCACCTCGAGAGTGTGGATGTGCTTGATCAGATCAATCTTATACTCATACCCAACTCAGGAAAACTTTGACTCATTTTCATTTAATTCAAAATAAAATAATTCAATATGATCAAAAAGGATCTAGCTTTCTTTCTCTTTTTCTGTTTGTCTATTTATATTTATTTCAACAATTATTTAGACTTAAAAACAAATTTTATATTAATATAATCTTTGTTTTATTCATATTTTTTCCTTTGTTTAAATTATTATATATATATATATATATGTATATCTTGAATATGAGTTTTTTCAAAATACTCTTCAATAGTGAGTCTAATATATGAAAGAAAAATAAGATATTTAAAATAAAAAAAGACCTATTTTTCTTAATTGAGATATACTCGATGTTGCTCTTGTTTGTTAATTAATTAATTAATTTTTTTCGAAAGCGTACACATCAACAAGTACATAACAATACATTAAAACAACATAATAAGATGAAGTAATGTCATTGTGGCTGTGGTTGTGGTTGTATTGATGTCGATGGTGATTGCGCTGTTGATGAATTGCTGTTACCATTACTATTCAATATTGCGACCAGTTTATCACGAACTGATGTTGGATAATTAAGCATTGTTTGCCGTATAACGTCCAACGCCTGATTAAGTGTTTTAACCTGGTTTTGTTGACCAACTCTTAAGGGCCTCGACAAAAAAAAAGAAATAAATATAATTAATAAAAAAAACTAGAAAAATTTAAAACCTTTACTCTATTAGTCTGGTTCTGTAAATTACACATATTGGGCCAAAAAAAATGCAGCTAACAACTCTTTTCTTTTTTTTGCGTATGAGATGGTTGGGATATGTAGCGAGGTTAGAAGAAGAAGAACGATAGAGGAATATTTTTTCCTCATCGGTCTAATAGAATGAGCAAACTTGACCGAAGAAAACAAATATTCTCGTCTTTTTTCTGTTCTACTATTGGTTTCTATTTTTCTATTCCTAATAGGAAGTGGAGAGAGACAAAACAACTTATATCTATGTCAGTATCTACTAACCTTATTTGATTTCGTGGAATATTGAGGATAGATGTTCACTTGTGCCGATCCTCCTTGTGCAGTTGTATTTTGCTCTCTTCCTTGTGCAGTTGTATGTTCTTCTTCTCCTTGTGCTGTTTTATCTTCCATCGACATTCTGGGTGTGTGTGTGGGTGGTGGGGTAATTCACATATACAAACTCGATCTTCCTAATAGAAATATATTAATTATTTTATAAAACAGAATTCTTATTTTTTTTGATAATCTACTTTTATAATATTAACATTTGATGAACAATATTAAAATCATAGTGACATAGTAGAAAATCTTGGTCTTTAATTCAATATGATTTCTATTGATCTTAGAAAGAAGATAATGAAGAAAATAAAATAAATTAGAACGAGCATAACAAGAAGAAGAAATGAATGATTCATTTCATTTATACATATAAAGATCTTATTGGCCTTATATATGGACATTGATATGAGCGACATTCCTCATAATATTTATGATTATTATTTATATGGATCCTTTATCTGAGACATTTTCAAAAAAAATCTTTCAAAAATTAGAATGAGAGTACAAAGATTTTATTTGCGATCAATTCATCAGTCTTTTCTCCATTACTTGAATCATATAAATCATGGATGTCGAATAATCCTTTTCTTTTTATCGTTTACAAGTGTTAGATCTGATGCTTTTCATTCGATTAAAAATTCAACTGAAGATACTTGATTTAATTTAATCATATTCATCATCAGTATTTATTTTTTTTAATTTTTTTAAATTTGTAAGAATACAGAAAATTTACAATGTCGGTGGAAGATAAAACAGCACAAGGCGAAGAAGAACATACAACAGCACAAGAAAGAGAGCAAAATACAACTGCACAAGGAGGATCGGCACAAGTGGACATCTATCCTCAATATTCCACGGAACCTTTATTTATTCCCATTTTTCACTATTATTTATATATTTTTTAAGCGCCCATTACGAGTCGGACCACCATTGACACCAGAACAACAACTACAACAGGCAATGGACATCATCCGTAACACCATCGTCAACCATCCCGAACTCGCCTCAGCTCAGGAACTTCAACAGCTCGTGGCTCTACATGATGATGGTAATAAAAGCAAATAACCTGAATACACCAACACCTCGACACACTCAATGATATGGTTGGTACTTATCATGGAAAATTTTTTCGTCGTCGTCGTCGTCGTCGTGTTTTCTTGTATTTGATAAAAAAAGTTCAATAAAAAAAGAAGAGGAACATCGAGTATAACTCGATTAAAAAGAATCAATCTTTTAATTTAAATATTATTTTTTAAACAAACAAAAAAAAGAATATAATGAAAAATGTTCAACATAAAAAGCTTTGAAAAAAAAAAACTTTGTTCATAGAAAATATATTCGATCAAAGTTACTTTGCCCTAAAAATATTTGTTATTAAATTCATTTTTTTAGCTATATATTGAATATATATTAAATTGAATAAAATTTATTGGATTTTTTATTTATTTAATTTAGTTTTATTCTTAAATTTTCAGTATTTATAAAAATAAGATTATTAAAGATTTCTTGATCTAATAAATGATCTTTATTATTTGTTAAAGACAAAAATAATTGATAAAGTTTTCCTGACGTTGAATTAGATGATTTGAGGGTGTGGGTGTGGGTGTGGGTGTGCTTGATCAGATCAATCCTATACCCACAACCAACTGAGAAATTTATTTATTTCCATTTATTCAAATAAAATAATTCAATATAAAAGATTAGTTAATATTTATGACAAAATTCAATATGATCAAAGAACATCTAGCTCTCTTTCTCACTTTCTGTCTATCTATTTATGTATATTTAAACAATAATATATATTTAAAGAGATTTTACATCAACAAAATCTATAAATTCAATACTCTTTATTTTATCTATTTTTTTTTGTTTATTTGTTTAAATCATATCGTTACATATATATCGAATATTAACCTTTCAAAAAAAATATCTTAGTAGTGAGGCTAATAAATGAAAGAAAAATAAGATATTTAAAATAAAAAAGACCCATTTTTCTTAATCGAGATATACTTGATGTTACTCTTTATTTTTAACAAATACAAAAAATATCACAACAACGACGATGAAAAAAGTTTCGATGATATGTAGCACAACAGATCATTGAGATTGTGTCGAGAATGTTCATTGTAGTGCTGAATTTTGTTTATCAGTTTGTTATGCAGGATCACCAGCTCTTCATCCAGGTCGAACAATCCGGCAAGAAAACGACCGGTTCTGTAGTATTCCGGAGATTTCATGGTACTGATGAGTCGTCTTTACCAGTATTATTATATAGAGCCATTAGTTTTTCAAGCTCCTTAACTGAAATTAATGCGGGGATCGTGAGTCACCGTTTCTCGGATTACATTCATTGCTTGTTGAACGGTCATCAGTTGTTGTTGTGTTGACGGGTTTCCAACTTTCATGGGACGCTAGAAAGATAAGCAAATACAAAAAGAAGATTTTAATTGAAAGAAAGCTTAAATACCTTCAATCTAGTATTGTAATTTTGAAAGTCATACATAGTAGTTGGAAAAATGAAGCTGACAACTCTTTTCTTTTTTTCTGATATGATGGATGAGGATAAGAAAGCAAGGTCACAGGAAACCAAAATGATGGGAAAATATTTTTCTTCATCAGGCAAGTAGAACGAGCAGTAAGACTGCCTATCACCAAGCGAAATTCGATCGAAGATAAAGATTTTTTTCCCTTTTCGCTGTTCAGTGATCGGTCAATATTTCATTCATCTAGAGTAAAAGAGAGAGAGAGGAAGAGAGAAAATAAATAAAAATGAACATAATTCTTTTCTTATTGTTAAAACAACATTTTTTATCTATTCTCTATCTAGACGATGCTAGTTATGAGATTATTTACTGACTCATTATAGTAACTATCTACTTACATCAGTTGATAATGAAGAATATATGTTGGCATGATATTCGCTTTTGATGAGGCAGATTTTTCACGATCGATCCAGTTGCGTCGATATATATATGTGAGTCGGCAATATATGCACAATAGGTGATTAATCTTAAACCATTTGCTTATGTAGTGACATGTAAATGAAATGGTTCCGCACCCATAACTTGCACATAACCTTTTATCTTGGTAGAAATAACATCCATGTCTTCAAGTAGTTGCTGTCTGACGCGGCAATCATGGAAAATGTCTTCATCTAGTTGAAAAAAAAATTCGACAATCTACTGCTACATGTTTTATAGCTCCCATAGATTCGCATCCTATAAAATTACGAGCATTTAACATCTCTTGATTCGCATTATCGATCTTTTGCTGGAAGACTTTTAAATAGCCGATTGCATCAGCTGCTATTCTCACATCCATTCTACCCTTTCCAGTTAACTTTCGCACGAATGCCTTTTCATCTACACTATGATTTTCATCTCGAATAGCTCGTATACGGCTAACGACGCCCTGTTTCAGAATTGGTTCATCTCTAATAAAAATTTCAAATATTCGCTTACAAGAAGGAGACTTACATATGGCTATGGAGCGAAAAAAACGAGATAGCGATGGAAGTTGCATGAGCACACTTTAGTATAAATCGTGTGTGTCCAACTCGATTTCATTCCACGTGTACTGCTATCATAAAGTTTTTTCCATTGTTTTGCGCTCAGTTTAAATGATGCCTCAATTATTTCCGATAGGTTCGGCTGATGCCGACGTGCACCACGAGTTCTTGGATATAGAATAGATGCGTTACACGTTAGCGGCTTTATTTTAGATTTTATTAAAGGACACGCACCTTCACTCTTTTCTTTCTAATTTACTGTCTTCTTTGACAAAATTTATTGGATTTTCAGATGGATCGTCACCAGAAATTATATAAAGAGTGATGTATACTTACTGTTTGATTTAATTTAAATTTTTATAATAAACAGCTAAAAGCAGATTCATCAGAACACGTGAAATCATTCAAATACCATGTTTTCTTATTAAGTTTCTTCTTATCAGGCCCTAACTTCTTAACAACAGATAGAAGTTGCTCCCGAGTAATTTGGTTTCGGATAATTTCTTTATCATCTATTTTCTACTACTTCTTTCGATGATCGATCATCAGGAGAAGTAAACGGACTATTTCTCTTCGTTTTCTAATATTACTATACTTCTTAATACTATTTGTACTCCCTGTAGAACATTATATGATTTAACTGACGAACGACAACGTCTATTAGAAGGTCAGTGATACTCTATCTGTCATTCCTCTTCATATATATTCGATATCTGTCAATGTATTCTTTTTTTCCTTTTTTCAGATTTTTCTATTGCTTTTTCTCATTGTCAGAACAGCGTTGAAGAATTTATTGTTATGAAATTATGTTTAATGATATTAATGTTTGACTGATATTTATCGTTCATTGAAATTTCTCACTGAACTATATCTATTTTTATTGAAATTTCTCATCGAATTATATCTATTATTTATTGATGTTTCTAATTGAACTATATCTATTTTTTATTGAAAATTCTCATCGAAGCATATCTAATTTTTATAAATAATTCTTGTTCAGTTATATCTACGTCTTATAAACAATTTTCACTGAATTAAATCTAATTTTTGTAAAGAATATTCATTGAGTTACATCTATTTTTATCAATAATTCACATTGAGTTACATGTATCTTTTAATTACATTTATCTTGGAATGATATTTATTATTTATTGATATTCATCGTTGAATTATATCTATTGTTTAACTATATCCATCGTTGAATTGTATTTATTGTTGAATGATATTTATTGTTGAACGATATTTTACTTAATTTTTAGTATCGAATGTTATTAGAAATTTATTGACATTAAACGTACTGAAAATGTATTGTGGTGAAGATGATGATGATTAGTTAAAGACGACGATGAGTAAATCATATTGTTTTTGTATAGATGCGTGCGAATTGCGTGTTCCATCATTTCAACTCTATATTTCGATGGATGTAAACCATCATACATATACCTAATAGGTATTGCTGGCTGAATAGTGCCAAACTTCTTTTTGGTCGCTAACTCAAGTAGAAGTATGTTACATTTTTCGATCTCTTCTAAAACTGCAAGCTCTTCGAGCAGAAACGAAGTATTTCAAGTACGTTGTTAGAGAAGCCGCCAAACAAAGTTGATCCCAGGATATAAATTTCTGACTGTTGAAATTGTGTGATCAATTCTTTGTACAGTTTGAAAAGCTCCCACTCGATGAAGATCACTGGTACGAATGATAATAATCAACTGATGAGCACCATGGATAAAAGTTTAGTCCACTGTTGATTGCAACCAAGCGAATGCATCACCGTAATCACCATCTTGAAGATAGGCGGGTGTGAATATGCTTGATTGGATCAATCGTATACCCACACCCACATCCTTAATTCAAATTATATACGACCTTATGGAATATTATATAGAGAAATTTCATAGTTTGTTTTACGCAATTAATATTAATAAATACTAAACAAGTTACGCTGGTCTAGAGACTTGTGTAACGGAAAATGTAATGAATAAATATCTTTTATTGAATAAATAAAAGTAGAATATAACAACAACAATAGAATAATAATAAAATAATAAAAATGATCCCTATTGCTACTTTACTGAGCTTAAGGTTCTAGATTCTATTCCGTCTTCGAGTCTTCCAATACAATTCAGAATAATTGTATCACCACGTTGAGTCTAACGTTCATCCAAAGTGTTTGTGCTGAGACTGACTATATCTAATACGCAAAGCAGGGAGAGGGTTATTAGAAAGGATGTCCTTCTATTCTCTTGGCACAACTTGCTCAGCTCTTTCTCGTAGAAACGGTGTGTCTTCACGACCAATAAACTATTTAATCAAACAATTTCAGAAAACCGACTTTAGATTTGAGTTCGTCGATCCCGATAACCCTTCGGTAAACCCTTATAGAAAAGAGATTCCTTTTGTGTTATTAGCTATTTTTTGAACCAATCCGCGAAGTGTGGACATACAAGCAAGCAAGAAAGCAAACAATTTATTTCTGCTAGACTCTTTTCTACGAGAAAGAGAACATAGATATTTATCAACATGAAATCTGAATACTTTCATTCTTTCAAGTTTTTTCTCGGTCAATATGACATGATATATTTTCAGTATCAATGATTCAGAAGAAGAAAAACACAATATTGCTATGGTTCTCTTATCACCAAAATAAATAATTGTATAAAATAAAAGAGAAAAAAAATGTAATATATAACTAACAGTCATAAGACACTATTTCGTTTTCCAGTATGTCATTTTATTTAACATACATTATTCTTTCTCTTCTATCATCTTTGTCTTGTAATGCACTTTGATGCACTACAGACTGTTTATTTTCATATAATAGTTCTACATTATTTATTTATCCTGAAGTATGTAATCAAACTGTTTCAGCCGGTGCATGTGTAGCAAATCTTGCTTTTACATTCGGTGCAGAACAAAATATGTTTCAATTGACAAGTTTTTCAGCAAGTACAATTTATAATTCAAATAATCAACGCCGTGGTAAATTACAAGTGATGGATTCAACAACAATTTCTTTTACACATTATGTTGATATTGCTTGTAAAGATAAAGATGATTGTGCAAAAGATTTAGCAATCAAAATTACAAATGAAATATTACAACGTCGAGTTGATTTTTCGAAAATTCTCAATGAATTGGCACCAT